TCGTGAACCAAGTACGAGTTGCCAAGAAAGTAGCCGAACGAAAGTTACTAAACAAGAGACAGTTTTTCGAAATAATATTTAAAGAAATATGCCGGAAATGTGTCTATGAGGCGGTAGTTTGTAGTATCGATACTTAATAGTTTGCTGGAGCTCAACAATGAATACAGTAATGTATGGTGATCTTCATTAATATATTCTCGACGGTACGGTGGAAATATTATAAACAGATAAAACATTGCAGTGATTTGCAAACGTGATCAGAATAGAGTGTGTGGTATGTGAAATCTGGAATCATGTAGATGTTCAAGCAAATGTGCAATGATGACATTTAATTTCATATAAGAAGTTTCCGAACACATTTAACCAAGAATATTTTAGATATACTTTAAATGATATAATTAGTTTTACTCAGATGATCTTACTTACTCAGATCTCAGATGAGTTTACTTACTCAGATGATCTAAAGATTTGCGTTCTAACTTTCAGGAAAATATTACGGTATTATGTTTTCACGTTCAACGCCAATTTTCCCATGTATGTCAATGACATACTCGTACTCATAAATATCCACGAAATGTATTCCCCAAGTATAATTTTGGAGTCCATATTGATTTGAGAAAAAGTAAAATTAAAATTATTAAGCTTTATTTATGTATTTAAATCATTTATGATTAATTTTAGGTACCAGATATTATTTTTTCATTGCAAACCATTCGTTTGAAACATTTCATTGGTACATTTGTTCCCAGAAATGAAAGCAAATCCCGAAAGAAAATCGATGTTCCTAATATATATTATAATTCGCTTGTACTTTTCTAGACCAATTAGCATTTTAAAGCGAGTTTTTATAATTATTTCGTTGCGTCGTAGTTGCTCGTCTTGGTTCGTTCGTCTTGGTTTGGGAATCTTGTCTTTGTGCAGTGTTTTTGATCAGACGCTCTTGGGTGTTACAATTTTTGCTTGAAAAATCTTATCTAGAAGCAACCCCTGATTATGAATACAAACTTTAAGTTTAGTTTAAGATTTTAGAGCCATAGCACAAATGTTTGTGCTCACAAAAGTATCAGGTTTCTATTCGATGTATGAAACAAATACAGTATGTGTAGTCTACAGTGATCACTTATTCTACAGTTGCTCCAAGTTTGAGTCTGAAACTATTCAGTATAAACCTTAATTTATTTGCCGCGGAATTATTCAAAGTTAGTTTTTAGGTGTCCAACAGTGTGCGCTCACCAATTAAACCGTACTATTGTATAACAAATTTCTGTATGTACGAATGGCTCACATGCAGATCCCTGAATCATATTAGCGCATTTCCTGAACGAACTGGAAGTCATTCCACGGAACTCCAATGCCTGAAGTCAATTGTGCGTTGCATTCTCTGACTAATCTTGTTCGGACCTAGAATGTGCAGATTCTGACGAACGCTACTGAGTGATTTGATTATGGAAGGAGACTGAAACTGAGATCGAGATATGGTGCACACCTGACCTTCAAAGCTGGCTGACCATGCGAGCTCCAAATCAAGAGTAACGACTCAGAATATAGTGAGCAACTGCAAATAGGCAGAAATTGAGACGAGCTCCCGAGGTTCATCATCTATGTTCAGGAGAGACAATTTGTCTTGCTTAGAACAGAAATGAGGTAATTCCAAGGCTCGGTTACGCGTGGACTTTGAAAACTCTTCTTTGCATCACAATGTTTCGTTTTGCATTACAATGTTTCAATATTTCATTTTGCACAAGCTCTCTGACCAGTCAAACAGCGATATGTGCAATGATGTAGATTAGAGTGGGTTGGTGCAGAACACCTAAAACGAACTCATAAAGTGAATTCATATAAAATTAAATCAATTAGACATAAGTCCTCGTTAGTCGGTGCCGAAATAGAAGACATTTGCCTAATTGGTAGATCAGGGTCTGCTTATTGGTGTTCCCTACTTGAGAGATATACCATGTATTTTACGGAACTATTGAAATTATTTCATTTTTTATATGCAGCTTTCATGAAATGGTTGTTTCGCTATGGCCAATTAGATTCACAAAATTAAAATTAATATCAGCACTTGGTCTCAGAGAATTTTGAACCAATAACTTGAACTTAACTCGAAATGCCGCAATGGAATGGAGACTGAACCAAAATATATTCATTAATATTTCGCAAAACCTAGATGCTTGCAAAACTTTTCAACAAAATATCTCGTGAACAGATGCAAGATTAATTTTTTAATTGATCTACCATATTTCACTCAAAATAATGCACTGTAAAATCCCTCAATTTTATTCTCTCACCTTTCCCCGCCAAAGTGCGCTAAGCCGTAGAGGCAACTTACATTTTTAAAAGCATTGAGGGCTTTCACGTGCCCATCAAATGACCGTCATTAGGCAACCGCTAATCCGCTCATTATTGATTCAACGAGGCGAGAGGACGAGTTGAGATAAGGGCCCTCGATAAGCTCGACCTGTTTTCATGCTAAGCCAACGCGTCAATGTGACGAATTTGTGAGGCCTTCATGTCCACTTCATGGTTGAGGACGAAAAAATGGGTATGCGCAACACATAAACTCATGCTAAAGCCTAAATGTATATTGATAAAATTTGTATCGAGCCATTTGTAGAGAAGCTGACAGTAGCTTCGTTAAAGACTCTATTACTGTTTTTGAATGCACCTCATTTGAGGTAAAGGGATAAAAATCCTAAAACATTGCAAGATCGTATACATAGTTTCTAACATTTTTATTATTGGTTGGTCATACTTATTGATAAGTCTAGATAATAAAAGGCTGCTCAGGATATGAAGTACCTAGAATACTAATACTAATTTTGAATACTAATTTTTTTATCGAAATAACTTCAACTGATATTAGGCGCGGAGAAATTAATGAAGATCAAAATGTCCAAAATAAACCATCTGAGAGGGCTGATCCTGAAAATCAAAAAATTGTTTGGTGTTCAGCGTTCACTAATTTTGCCAGTCGATTTATTTTACTTTTTAAAAATTAGTTTTGCATTTTCCTGTAACTAAAATCCTTCTTGTGGTTCTGGTCAAATACTGTTTGTGCTTTGTGTATCCCTGTCAGGCACGTTCCTCAACTAAATTCAAATAACTTTCTTTAATTTTACAGATATTTGACTAAAACAAAAGGTACAATTAAAATTTTCATTTACAACATCAGGCACTTTGCAAAAAGTGACATGGAACGATTTATGTAAAATTGTCGGTTAAATACACCAGGCGTGAATACATGCATAACTTTTTTCTTCATACCTTATTCCTCACATAGTTCACTGAAATTTGAAGCGATCATTAGCACATATGTTCATGGAAAGCTGGGTAGCAGCTCTGGACTTTTATACAATGCTTTGGGTTATAGCGCTACGTGTTGGCAACGGCGAAGCCAAGGCGGAGCCAAAACTCATACTGGATGATAAGTAGTCTGGTTGCGAATTTTGATCTATTCTATGTATTACCTAATGTTCCACTTTCTTGATTTTCATAGATTTTTCATTGAGAATTGATTTTCGTTTCAGTTGATGGATTTTCGTTTCAGTTATTTGGATAATATGTACTTGATTTTGGAACCACCAGTTCAACTTTCTGTCAAAAACTATTTGCGCGTCCATCATTTACGTGCTGCTGCTGTAAGTGCCAGCCAGAGTAGATATTAAAGGCCAGCCCGGGTTTGATACTTGGACTTCAGCATCTGCTTCAGCGACCACCAGTGACAAGGAGTGTTATTTAGGGTTAAATGTTTGTCAGCGCAGCTATAGCCTGTTTGCATTTACCAGCACAACGTTTAGCCAGTAAGGCAACCATTATACCTGTTCACCACGCGTCGTTGATATTCCGAATCATGTTGATCAGAATAACGTTTTTATTGTATGGTTCTTTCTGGACCTAAATAAGTACGTACGTTCAATTTTTCGAAAGGCGTCTTTAGTTCAAATGTTAGTCGTGACGTATCTATATCAAGTTTTTCAATTATGCATTAGCTTAAATTTTTATTGTTCCACTCCTGTGGAAAATAGCGACTTCTAGATCGTTGAAAAATGAGATAATGATTGGCCGCTCAGTAAACTTTTTAATTAGTGCATGCTCTCCCGGAGCAGCATGGTTGAAAACATCTTTTGAACATCAAGCTACAACTTATAAGAGACATCATTTAGATTCATCCAATATGATGTATGATCATTTATTCTAATGAAACTTGTAAGGAAGTTGGTAGCCTATCTCTGATGGTAGGGAAAGCTATAATAACATTCTCTGGTACAACTTTTGAAGTATTCCAATCGGGCCAATATGGGCAGTTGACTTGGGGTCTTTGATTCGCGTATTCGTAGCAACTGCACTGAACTAAAGTTTGTAACACAACTTCAAACGCTGAGACTTCGTGTCTGCATCCTTGAAATTGAACTGCGGGGCATTGTTTGGCAGTAAATTCGAAATTTCAACACAAAATTTCTCGAATGTTCTGCGATGCAAGCATAAAAAAGAAAACAGAAAATGCTTTCTGCTTTCTGAAAAATGACTAATTTTGAACACTGTATGAGTTTTCTCAGGTTCAATACGAACAAAAATAGTTTGAAAAATGCTAACGTGATCAAGTAAGTGACAGTATTATTAAGATCCTGTTGGTCTGAAAATTTTACTGTCTTTAAAATAATTTGTCCTTTCAACTGCAAAAACTAAAACATTATTGTTGACACAAATTATTTCATTTCGCAAATAAGAAATATGAAATTAGTAAATATGAAAGCGAGTTGCATCTGGTAATTATAGTTACATACATTCAGATTTTTCTATGTATTTCTTACGATCGATAAAACGTCATACTCAGATTGTAGGGTTTAAAATTTTTTTTTCTTTCTTAAGTTTTCAGCATTTGAACAGAAAATAATTACATAGATAGATCAGAACACGTAAGTTGAGAAATAGCTTCTACGTTTTCTATTTTGTCAAAAAAAGAATCAAATAGGCATAAAGAAAGTCGATAATGTTACTTAATATTTATTGAGAATTTATATTTCGATAATTTACAATTGATAAGCGGCACTTTTGACATGTTTCCAAAGACAGAAATTTTTATATACATATTAAATTAATTAAGGCTTAAATAAGCTATTTTACATGCACTGGAAAATGTCAATGAGAAACTATTCACTAATTATTAGACATGAATTTCCTTCACGCTGAATGAAGCCTATGACGAATGAAGTCCACATTACAATAGAATTAACTGCGACCATAATGATTTTCAACATATCGCAGCGATATGCAGTCGATGAGCATAGAAATAAATGGAGGTCCAAATGATCAACATAAGGTGTAAAATGGACACAAAAATAATAGAATTATTAAAATTTCAACTCATCGCAGATTAAATTTCAATGTCTCTAAAAATAATTTATTTGAGAAACGTTTTCTTTCTGACTTTAGCGAGTTAATGCAAAGTTGCTTACTGGGTATAAACATTCTTCTAGAAGAAGGTTTTACATAAATTGTACATATTATGGATTTTTATTAGGGCTGAATATACAATTACTGAAGTGAATCGATCGACAATTTACTAAAATTGAAGATTGAATCACTTTATAAACTAGTAGGAGTCATCCGTTGAAATATACAGTATTGATAATAATATAAATTCTAAGTCACAACTTCAGTAATCATTTTTTATTCTGAAAATCAACCAGCTCATATTATTCTTAAGCGAATTCATCGAATTCAGTCATAAACTAAATGGCAATCAAAAAAGTGAGCGTGCACAATTTAGGAGATTTTTTAATGTGGGATAATTAGTAGGCCAAGTTGCTTGTCAGTCGTCTACAAATCCAATGAAATTGCAAGTTTCACTAACATCATATGTATAATTAATTAAAGAGCATGCATGGGAACTCAGTAGTACGGACAATATAGAAATTTGTACTGCAAAGTAAACAGCACCACAATATAAAAATAAGAAGAAAAATTAGACAAATGAGTTCAGGGGAACGAAATTGATTAAAAATCGTGTGACAAAAATTCAAGGGCTGTTATAAGTTATCTACGCAATGATATGTTTCGAAAATAATTAGATTTTTCGTTTCCTTGCAGAAACTTTCAGTGACGGAAATTGTAATGCCACTTACGCTTAATCCCTCCCAAGTTATTTGGATCTAAAGAGTTATCAAGGATCCCAATGATCGTTTTGCGTCTATCAAGCACATTTGGGGATTTTTCAATAAGAGAAAATGCGTTTATCTCAGGCCGGAGTCGGGGTTCAGAATTTATATTTAAGAGAGCATGGGTAGTCCCTTCTTCGCTCCTGATTGGACTTATCTGAACTTCTTCAGGTAATGTCTCGATGTCTGTATCAAGAGCATTTGTAGCGAGTTCTGCAAACATTGGCAGGTTTGCTATATCAATGTCTAATGACGCGTTGTCGTATATTGGTCTTTTAATTGGTTTTGGAAGTGTTTTTCTCCATTTCTTACAATATTTCATTTCATCGCTTCTTATTTTCAGGACTCGTCCCAAGACTCGAGTTGTAAATTGTCTCGTGTAACTGGACCTGTCTAGACCAAGCTGAACCTCCCTTCCATTACCTGAAGGGTAAGTCTTTCCCATGATGAGGTAGATTTTTCCCGACTGCAGTTTCGGACAGGCGCAGTTGAAGTTCTCAACGTAGATGAACTCTTTGTGCAGCAGCGGCACCGTATTTTTGAACGACTGGAGGATGGTGACCTCATAGCGGCCTTTGCTCGTGGTATTGTTTTTCTCTTTTGGAGCGGCGTCAAAACTCACAACCTGAACTCGAGAAACTGTGGTGCAAAAAATGGCTGGTTAGAAGATTTCTTCAAACGAATAAATTTATATTTGTAGTTATTGTAAAATAGGAGATTAAAGGACGGATAGCAGGATGTTTTTGTTTACAAACACCTTCAGTGAGAACCGCTAATTTCACCATGACACCGCTCTGAAAAAAAGCCCTAAAAATATATACGGCGCTGTAAGAAAAGTTCATATTTTCAGTAGGTGGCTCAACTTACCGAAGTCACTGGTGCAGAAGTGCTTCTTCACCTCACGAACTCTGGAGCACTTGGGACAAACAAGCGCTGGGTTCTTTTGTCGGCGTTTTTTCTTCGTTCTTCGAATTTTCCGCCTCCTGTGAGTTTTTTTATTAGGGCTCCACTTGCTTGGAGCTGGAGAATTTTTTGCAGATATTTTTGAGTTTGTAAATGCATTATTCGCTTGAACTCGATTGCTGGAGCTGTGCCGACTAGCAATGGGATGATCTCGGCGTCTGCTGAGCCTCTTTTCGTCCTCTTGAAGAGGAACGGCGTCAGTGAAACGGAAATGTTTTTCTCGATTTCTCGGTGAATTTTTAGAAATTGAGGAGGGAACATTGGTGTTTAGCCTTGCTGAAAAATGAGCAGGATTGTCGTCTTGAAAACCGAACCTGATAGGCTCATCAAACATTTGTCTGGACAACTGTGTATCTTCGGAAATAATTTTATTTCTGGGATTAGCGTGGCTTTTAGTCCATCGGATGCGTCTCTGCTCTAAAGAATTCAAACGTGAGAGTTCTAAGTTTTGATGACGTCTTTTAGAAAGATTTCTCGCGGAATGTCGAAGAGCCTTGTGGAGTACAGCGTCCGTTTTTCTGCCTGATCTGAGACGCAGCTCGACCGAATCGTTCGTGAAATTAAATCCTGACAACGACGTCGCTTCTGAAGTTTTTGATTTCTCAAAAGCAAGCTGGTGATCAAAATTTGTACCGTGAAATTTGATCGAAGGCCATTCCTTTCTGTCGGGTTTCCAATTGGTACTCGGTTTCGAAGTCTTCTTGAAATGAATTGAAGGCAGACCGTTCGAGTTGCTGTTAGGCGTCCAATATTCGTAATAAACTCCTGGGTTTTCTTCTCTCAGCAAGATCTGAAGGAAATAACCTTTGTCTTTCACACGTTCTAAGCAATTAAAATCTCAAGACACCAACTGATGTTGGCGGAAATATATCTATGTATTTTTTCGTATAATTATGTAAGTGTAGATTCGCTCCGCCTGCGCAGTTTTGAAGTTTACTCAAAATAAATGACAAAAACGATCGCTCTAAAATACCCATAGCAACGATCACTTTATTAAAAATTTTATTATTTAGAATATATTTATCCTGATTGCTTACCATTAATGACAGATTTGACTTTGTTGGTCCCAGAGCCGTAAGCTGCTCTGAGTCGTTTTCAGCTCTGCTGTAGGAAAACATGACCCCACCAGCCTCGACCTCCCCGGGCCAGTCTATGAGCCAGTCGCCGTTGAGAAGAAATTTATTGCCCTCGCGCAGAGCTGACATTGTCAGGGGAGGAAAATAAGAAGAGCGATGTGATTATGTGTCAAAACATAAGAATTCTCTGCAAGCATGTTGAAATATCACGGAGACCTATTTGTTTATTTTAACAAGCACAGGGTAGTGACAAAATTGTCAGAAAATTTAGAGATCTCGAATTTCTACAGATAATAAAAAAGTTCGTTAAGATTAAAATGTACTAAGAAGTAAACAGCTGCAAAGTTCCTCATATAAAGTAGTTGGTTAAGAGCACTTAGAAGAAATTTTGCGATCAAGTAAAAACAACTCATCATAAATGGTACGCATTAAATTCTCTTCCAAATTAACACTCACTGAGCTTTGTTACAGTAGCAACAACTATCTGCAACCATTTTACATTTAAATTGTTATAGCATTGTATCTCTGATGCCACTAATATCAATTTGAATAATTTCTGCTGGAATTGAATATCTAAGTATCTCAAAAGATTTCAGAATCAAGCGATAGTTCTCACGAAAAAAATTGAGTCAACTAAGTGATTAAATCTGTAATGTTCAGGGCATTTTCTGTCAAATTACACGGGCGTAATCGAAAATCCCGTTTAAAATAAAATATTTTTGAAATACGGAATCTAAATTGATTTTAGTTATAAAATTTTTCGATCCTGAAAGTTTGTAACAACTTAATTCGTCCTGTATTTTTTTATTACAGCACGATCAATCAAAAGTAATTTATCTTGAAGTTCCATTCTCTGAAACAAAATATCGGCTGAAGCCGAAAAGCCTCTAATCGCATCTATTATATTCCTAATGCAAATAAATAAAATCAATGATTAATCGCGGTTAAATAAGTTCAGTTTTAAACCAAAGCCTAGATTTTTGTGCTCATAATGAAGCTCTCACCTAAGAAGTTATGTGAATGATCGGAGACTTTGATGTTTGTAGAGCCTTTAGGTATGAGAGTCACTTCATAATATCCAATGGTTCCTGCACAGACAAAGTTATATCGAATTTTAGTATTTAAAAGCTATGTACCTCAGCTTGTAAGAAAAGAATAATTTATTATTCATCATTTCCTACTCTCATATTTTAATTAAATGACAGATAACCTTGCTCTCTTTCTTGTATTTTCAATTTTGACTTCATTTGCATGAAGTAAGAGAAGGTACAAGTTGAAAAATTGCTGATTTAAATTTTAGCTTTACATGTTTCATTGCTGCCATGCAACATTCCAAAATGTGACGGGCTCATATACTACCTTCATTAGATTTGGTTTCTTGTATGTATACATAATATTATTCACTTGTAGTAACAATAATTAGTTCAGGCTGTTTTAATTTCATATTTATGCGCAATTTTATGAGATTCTATTTTAATATTTTCTTATCCATGACAGGAACCTTATTTTACAACCCAAATTGAACCACTTACTTAATTCATTAAAGAATCAAATAATTAAAGAATAATCGAGAATTAGAAGAACTAGGAATAAAGAAGTTCACCTTTTTGTTGCTTCTCCTCATCAGCAATAGTGGGCTGATCAGCTACGAACTGATCCCTCCTGAAACTGCCGTAGCCATGCCATGCCGGCTCCTCAGCTCCGTGCGCTGAATGATATTTCAAATTTTTGGCCTCATCTAAGGCGTAAATTTGAGATTTCTTTGCTTCGTTGTAAGGCTCGTCTTGAGGGTCCGTGACAGGGGAGTGGAAGATGCCCTTATGCAGGGTACACGTCGTGTTGTTTCCTCCACACACGCGACACTGGTCTTCTAATGCAGTGCCTCCAAGTTGTCCGTCGCATGACATTCGCTGCGGCAAAAAATTTAGCTTTGCCAAAAATATATTCTTGTCTGTATTAGTTTTCCTAATTAGTATATAGTTTTATATAGTATTTTTTATAGTATAGTTTAGTATATAGTTTTGTATATAGTTTTCCTAATTAACATTAGCTTGACCATAAAAAATGTACTAGTGCAGGCACTAATGAAAAAGATATAATTACTCAAAATCGGCATAATAGAGAAAGGAATCCAGCGAATTTGTCCTAAAAAATTTGCCTTGCATTGCACTGTTCGCCTTAAATAATGCGTTCAGTGTCACCATTATATGATGTTATACATTTCTTCACGGACTTGTTAGAAAAATTTCACCATGAAGCATGGTCATTGCCTTCCACACAAGAGCATTGCAGTGTGAGGGTTACGGAATAGAAAGCTGTGCAGAATTTTAAATCGGATTAAATTTTTACCAACTCAGAGGGGATTGAATTGGAAATAATTGAGTTTGGTAAATTTTTATCCCGCAGGAAAGTTCCTCAAAAACCTTCCTGGGAATTAAAACACTATTTGTCCCACGTAGTTAAATGTAGGTTTCAGAGACCGTAAATTTGTTCAAGCATCAAAATAGAAATTTTCTAATACCGCAGGATTTACGACGTCTCAGAAAATTCACATTATATTAGCATGATAGACTTATTTCCGGCTGACGGTAATTTTTTTCACTTAGTATAAAGGGGAGAAGCATAAATTAATTGAAAGCTAGAGGTCATTATTCGTGATTTATTGCTTTCAGATGTGATTATAAATTTGATTGATGATTACTGTTTCGCGATCGCGAATAATGGATTTTTACACGTTCCCTGTCAATTTTTTCTACCTTTAATAAAATTCTGCTCACAATAATGAGGCGATTTAAATAGGGATTAGCATTTACACTACGGTAGATTAAAACACTACCAATACAGGAGAGCAATACTATTTACAAAACTAAATAAATCAGGCAAATATTTCCAGGAAGCTTTAAACATTTATGTATCAAGGATGTGCCAAATTGGGGCAGGCGTAAAACGTTCATTTGAGTTACTATTACAGCAGGATAGTAAATGTTTTCCTGCATTACAGACATAACAAAATTGAAATCCTAGGCTCTCACAATAAGATTAATTGAGTTTTATTATTTTAAACGAAATGTAAAACTCCAAAATGAGAGTATAAATGGTTGATTACATTTTAATTGACAGATTTTATAGCGAAAAATTGTCAGGATATTGCCACTTGTACATATTTTGATATTCAGTGATAATTTTACGTATGTTTTTGTGGTAATTTCTTTGCATTTAGGTAAACACTGGTAATGTAAAGAATTGATTCGTACCTTTAATAAATAATGCAAAAGGTTCTATATTAATGTATGAACCCTAATAATTTTCAAAATAATCTAGCAAAAACGTAATTCATCACATGACATGTATAAAATAGAATTTTGTTACCAACTAAAATTACACGACTTGTTGTTAACTTACCTTGATTAAATTGTATACGAGCACATAACTCATTCCGAAAAGAACCCTAAACAAAACACTAAATCCTCAGGCCAGACTCTATGACCCTAATCAGTGCAGAAGCTTTCAAGGAAAACCGACGCAAAAATCAGGTTACTGAGTTTATGATAATTAGAGATCTTTGAGCGAGGTGGATTATTTCTCGTCATTCTAATTGACACTCGTGTGATCTTTTGCCTTTTCTGGTTCCTGCGACGCACTTTACAAAAATATGCGGAAATTAATTATAATGTTTAGTTGACAATTAAAATTCATAAATAAATAGGTAATCATGTCATGGAGAGACGAATTTAATTGCAGTGGGAACAATTGGGATCAAATAGCATCACCTGATGACGATATCATTATGGTGCTTGAAACATCTTCAATGTGCCAAAAATGACATTAATTACTGAATTAATACAAGAAAAAATAAAAAGCAGAAAAAATCAGGTTTGAGGTTACAATGATCGTGTATAAATCGTTCCGGGACTCTGCGGGAATAACAATTTGCTGCATGTGTACAAGATCGCTACTATGTGTACATAGGTAACGACGAATTTGCGATGGACAGAATACAAGGCTATTCAGCTGAGTTATTATGGCACCAATAATGACGGCAAATTCTCTTAAATGGAATAAAATATTTGAGATAAACAGAATACAAGGATATTCTCCTTAATGGAATAAAATATTTGAATACGATGCGTTAATCAGATGTAACTAGTTAGAATCTGCAAATGTGAGGCAAATCATCTCATAGGAGAAAAAAGTTTGAATAAAACGTGTTAATCTGATGCTGATAATAATAAAGTGTACGCACTAAGCAGCGACCGTTGACGCAGATGCCGACGAGGCCGCGGTCGGCCGAGCATTGCGTTCCGTCCCTGACTTTGCCGAAGGTATAGACGATCCCAGCGCCCTCACCCTCGCACACCAGCGCACAGGAATTCGTGGCTCCTGCTCGGGAGCCAACACAACAAAATTTTTATTGTTTTTTATCATGACAAAGTGGAGAAATAACTTGGTTTGACTTTATTTTTTTACATTTAGAACATTACAAATTCCATACTTTGAATGACTGAAGTTAGTTAAACTTTCAGATTAGCAAACCGACTCCATCAAACCTCAAAAACAAAAATCTAGTTGCTTACAAACAGAACATTTCAGTACCTTGCGTGTAGGGCAGCCAGCGCGTGACGAGTTTACCGAAGACTTTCCTATTGTTATAAAGTCTGCACTGTACAGCTCGGAACGATGCTCCGGACATGAGGTCTGAGCCTCCAGCGCAGGGTTGGCTGCTGCAGGCGTCGTACTGCGTGTTGGGGCCTACGCATTGGTCGTGGCTCGTGCGTATTCCTGAACCTGGCATCACGCGCGGGGCGGCCGCGATGCAGTGCCGTGTGCGCGAACGAACTCCGGTGCCGCAAGACCTGCTCATCAGAGGCAAGGCGTCGATATGAGATGTCGTTTCTTCATCGTGCAATCGCCCCTAGGTGACTATGAAATAAATTATGTGGAATAAAAATGCTCATTCTGGTAAGATAAAATGGAAACTTGGTAGCATGTGAACTTCTAATTTTCATATGTTGGGCTGTTAATCAATACAAGATAATATGTACGGTAAATCTGTCGATCCTTTGGCGAAGAGATCACAGTTCATCAGCCACTTGCCTGGAACATTTGGTCCATTCGCCCCAACGTGACCACTCAGTTAGCACGGAGTTGAGGTGAGGGAGCGGGCCGATGTGCGAGGTGCGCTGTGGGAACAGACCGGGCAGCGTGCGTGAGCCGTAGAAGGTCGGAGGCGGGGGACGAGACTCTGGCCCAGTGGCCTCTTCTGAACACCCGCATCCTACCATCAACTGCAAAATGGAGCGGTTTTCCACATAGTTTATTACACTTACAAAAATTTACTTGATAATTTTCTTTATTGCAATGAATTGTTGCCCAATATAATGGTGAAAACTAAAAATGAATATATTCATATATGCACTTAGTGTAATCCAAGAGAAGTTCATCCTGGTCTTCTCTCTAAATGTTTTACATGCTCAAGGTCACAGTTTGATAAATAATCATTATAATCTTTCTGTCTCATTGTGTTACATTTCTGAAATCTCAAAAGACTAAAATGGTCTGCAGTTTACATAAAATTACATTGTAATAAGTGTTTAAGCCTATATTTCGTGAACTTAGACCTAACTCATTTCAAAAGATCCAAATTGAAGTATTCAACAGAAGTAAATTTAAACATCATGATGGATTTTGCATTTCCAATGTCCCCGTAAATCAGTTGCCTTCGTTCCTGATTGCAGATTACGTTGCGCTTTACATCCTTCAGCTTCAGAAGCTTTTGAGCTGATCTTCCTGTAGAGACTCAAGATGATCGGCAGACTATAAGCAGCTGAGCGCCTCTTGACGCAATCTAAACTCTTTCTAAAGCCTCATCGGAAGTTATGCATTCTTCTAGTCGGTTAATGTGTTCTTTTGATTCAATTTTCTTTATGATTTTTTCTTAATATTTCGCTTTATCATAATAATTAATATGAATACATAATTTGTTAAAGATGATATTAAATTAGACAATTGAATATCGGATCTGCACAAGTTGAGAATTTGTTACAAATATTTTCTCAAACAAATTTTTCCAAGTGATCCACACTGAAAATACATTTGATACTTTCAGTGAACATTATTTATAGTTGATGGTTCGTTCATGACACTCGAAACAATATTTTATTTATTAATTGAGTTTATAAATAAGAAGTTGGTTACCTGGAAGGCAACGAAGAAGCGAACGGCTACCATGGCTTTCATCTGAGAAGTGCTCTGCAAAAAGAACACATATGGCAAACATCTTTCTTTGGTAAATAAGTCAAGTGACGGATTAATTTAACCAAAGATTCGAAGGTACCATTCCAAAAATTTAAAAATCAGTGAGAATCTATCGTTTTGTGAAAAGTATTTGAATTTAAGTACAAAGAATATCGAAATATGAAAAATATCATCATCATACTTCATTGTATCTGTTTTAAGGAATGCAAGCAGGTCAGAATAACATTGAAATTAAAATGAATCATTACAATTATAATTTCAGCTTCATCTTACATAAGTATACCCATAAGCTTCTACATGAACAACTTACGTTTAAGTTGAGCTAAGAAAGACTGTCATAAGAGTACCTAATACAACAGCAAGCCCCGCCTCGCGTCAGAGACGACATGGTGCCTGTAGAGTAGGAGAGAAACATCGTTACTTCTGACGCTAACGATGACATTTTATTATCTATATCTGCTATACAATTCTCATGACATAAAATATGATTGCTATAGGTTTTATGGGAGATGGTTTTCGCAAGTAAGTAGATGATAAAAGCTTGATGGTCATGTTGAAGATTTTATTATGACAAGATAATTTATTAAAAATTTGATAAATCTGTGTCAAAATTTTTTTGCGTCACCTTATGTTACATGTGAGCAAGTCGATTTCAAATTTACATACATAACAGTGTGAAAAAATGTTTAAAAATATTATAAAGAACCAAGGTGAGATATTAATATGTCCCCTATTAAATTACTCTTCCTTATTTAATGATATAAAATGTACAAAGTTCAGCAATTATTGAGTTATATACTATTGTGCATGTCACATCCACGTGACCCACGAATGATGAAGACACGCCGATATCATCATTTGTCCACATCAATCTAGTTAATGCTGACCTTACATGCGTACGGTTGACCACTGTAATGATATCGGCGCTTCGATTATTTCAATGTCATGCCAAAAGATTTGAATGCTGATTTTATCTAGATATTGAATTAATAAAATCTATATTCGATTCGATGGTCAGTGTTATATGTATTAAAAAACAAGCTTTTAACATTATACATGATGACTGCCTTGCGTATTTTTCATCACAACTCAACAGCTTGTTCTAAAGATTCAAACTGGGAAGAGCCCGTTGCCCTGCCTGTTTTTCATCACACCTCGCAGATTGTTCCAAAGATTGACTCGGTAAGTTTCATCGCGGGCGTCCATTGACCGGAACGGATGCAATCTGTGACGCTATCGACCGCGTATGACAGCGTCGGCCGGCACACCTCTCGACCGTTTTTCCATTGGAAAATAGAAAAGATTTATTGGTGTTTTGGGGCGTAATGTTGAGTAGGCCATGGCTTCATTTTGTGTGTACGAGAGCAAATAAGGTTTCAGGCTTGCTTTGTGAACGTATTTTGGTTGGTTCCAGTAAGTTTTTTTGTTAAAAACTATGCAAATGAAAGTAAATATATCATTTTATTTTACTGTAGACTACTGTCATTACTAAATTGTAGCTCCTTTTTCATTTTCGAGCAACATTAAAGCTTACATTTCACACTGCAATAGAAATAAAACACATGATAAAATACCGTTACAAAAATTAAATGTAGTCTCAATTGCTCAAAGAGAACTGACTGCTTTGGACGTTTAAAGAAGTTATCGAGTTTGTATGAAGATATTCATGAGTCGCTGAGTAATAATTGCCTCCGGACATAAATAAGTTGGCACCGAGTGAGTGAGCCTTGGCACGTCATCTCTAATGTCAAGAGCAAACTATTGATAAAAATATGCCATCGAAGAAGGAACGACAACAGTAACAGTAGACGAGCAAGTCGTAATATCGATGCTCGGCATAAATAAAACCAAAGTTTATGTAACGAATTTTCCTCTGCTCTACCACTTCTGATCTTTCTGAGCTACAAAAGTATTTTCAATATTCATACAGCTTGCTTTATCCCATATATACAAAAAATATAACTCAGTACTTACTGCAGTGAGTGACAGAGAGCGCATTTTCTCGTCGACGAAAACGTGAAGTCACGGACGGACAGACAGACGGACAGACAGACAGACGGACAGACAGACGGAACTCACTGCAGTGAGTGACAGAGAGCGCATTTTCTCGTCGACGAAAACGTGAAGTCACGGACGGACAGACAGACGGACAGACAGACGGACAGACAGACGGACGGACAGACGGACATGGCGAGCGCAATAGTGCTTTTTTCCATGAATGAGAAAATGCGCTAAAAAGCCTATTTGGACCATCTAGAAAACATTTAGATCTTCCAGAAAAATATCGACTTGTTGCAGGTAATTAAGGACATGTTGACCAAAGTTGAAGAAAGAAACAGTGCCACGTCCTGGGCAGGTTATTAGAACAGTTATGATGGATTGCTTTAATATCCAAGCCTCGGCGCTGGTAGAGATTAAAGATGTGACTTAATTATTATTTTTATGAATTCAACTCTTGATGAGTCACCGCTGGAAAATTGTAACTCACTGAGTCACTCTTTTATTACAGATCGAATTCTATAGCATCAAACATGATCTGAATGAGAATGTATCAGAATAGTTCATTTTGTGCTAACTGGAATGAATTATTTTGAAAAGCAAATGAAATGAAGTTAACTCCGGTAAGATTTGTTTTCCTCCTAGACATTCCCCGATCAAAGATCATAAAATTTTGTATTAGCTGGTACATTCACTCCCAGAAATTGAATGAAATCTATTCGAAAAGTAACGCTAAAGTTTATCATGCAATGAAAATCTAAGAATAATACTCCTTGTTATTCGTTTCTCCCGATAACGGAACCAACGGAAGTCGACATTTTCCCACAATTCCAGCAGTTGTCGATAGTACGCTAGGATCAGATAAGAGGGCTGCTAAAGCCAAGTTCGATGAGACCCATTGCAGCACTGCGCAATTTTTTGCAACGCTGAGCCACGTGTTCTATTATCTCAATGGAAATCTAATTAAGGCACCTTGAATCCAATTCTAGAGGCAAATTTGAGGCCCGCCGCGAAGTAAATAGAACACAATATAACACACATACTGCATGCGATGCACTTTATTTAATTATACTCCCCCTAGATGGGATTCAGATTGTCCGTTTTTCCTTATGTTGTATTCATTGTGCGCCGAGTGAAAGAGTTAATTATGGTCACAAATTAAATGAACATGTGAACAATAATAAGAGTCAGTTGTATGTCAGTCAAAGTCAAAGTAAGTAAAAAGTAAGTAAGTAAGTCAAAGTAAGAACATGTAAATAGACTACTGAGTACAAGTCATGGGACAATCAGGACATGTATATAGACTATCTAGTACAAGCCACCGGACATGTATATAGACTATCGAGTACAAGCCACCGGACATGTATATAGGCTATCGAGTACAAGCCACCGGACATGTATATATATAGGCTATCGAGTACAAGTCACCGGGCATGTATATNCGGTGACAATAACCGTTTTTCAGCGCGCTCTCTGACGGCTTTAAGCACCTCGGCGAAAACTGCAGGTTCAAATTAAATTCAATCCTTCAATTAATGCCCGTCTTCATTATCCCCGCTTCAATGAACTGGAATAAAAAAATGATGGAGGAGGCTATCGGTCAAGCTTTGTGTCTGCGATGCAGGAAAACCCTGCCGCATCTGTGTCTCGTTCCCAGGAATATTTTTTAAGGTTTTAAAATACACAAGGACTTCTTTAACTGCAGGTTTCTGTACGCTTTAGTGAATCTCATTCTACATTTATTTTTTTTACATCAGAATCTCATAATCGAATCGGAAGAATCGGAAATTCTTGATATGTCTCAGCCATTCAACAAAATAAAATTAACATAGTAATTACGACACATACTTAATACCGCAATACTTAATCACTTAATCAGGCACACATTGGATAAAATGCTGTTAATGATCTAAAAATCATTAGCTATAATTCAAGAATTGTTAGTAAGCGCTCGTTTAGAAACTCAACTACGGACAGTGGGCTAGCCTCTCGTGTTTAAATATTACAATCTTACACTCCGAAAATTGATGGGACATTGTCCAAATAAGGACGTTCATAACCACAGCACATCCAGATAGAGGACGTAAGCGTCGATCCGTCCATGTACCGGTCCAAACTGAGTCAGAAGGACACACATGAGCAAAATGTTCCTAGCCTATTTGTACAATATCCCACTCCATTATTTGAGTGTGGGCAAGAGCCCTCCTTCAGCAGCAATTTGGCAGCGAGGCTACGATGCGGAGGCGCAGGTCTCCGTAGAATCCTTTAGGGCTAAGAATCGCGGTTAGATAATTCAAGATATTCGTTTTATGGGAGACTTACAGAGTTATGGGTAGTGCGATGCTTTGAATGTCAGGCTGGCGTTTAGTCTTTCATTGAACATTTGTATAATTTTACGGTCTAAAGTTCTTTTTTAGTCGCGTTCAGATGTGCTATGAATATGAAAGGAACTTTTTTCTTACTCGGTGCTGCTCTTTCTTCTTATCTTTTTCGTTTTTATCTAAGAAGTTCTATTCATTTCAAGTTCGGTGTTCTGGGTCACACCATAATTTGATTTCACGAACATGAAATTTGGTTTCATATGTTCCCTGTTTCATAAAATTTTTTTCATCATCCAACATTAATTAAATAACGTGAAATCTTCAATTTGTCATATCAGTTTTTAAAACCTTTGTACAATTCACTCAATAATTAACATGATATATTCTGTTTAACACATTTTGGCTTAATAACAGTGTTATAATAAATAATCGATACATACTGCCTTTAAGTTTAAAAATGCGCTGGTTTAAATATTCTCTTACGCTGTAGTCAAAGACAGCTCAACTTTATTTAGCTTTAAGCAACTCAATCTAAGTCAAACTTCTGAATAAATTTCCAACAAATTTATTCCAGTCTCTCATTCTTTATTGGTCTCCACAAAGGATATTTTAAGAGCGAGAACTAAAGAGCTTACAGAATCACTTCTCAGAGTTTGCTTTTTATTAACCCATATTCAAACAAAGATCTCCTGATCTGACGCCAAGTTTAGAGCCGTCTTTAATTTTACGCTCCTGATAAAACTTTGATGGTGCCATGAAAGTTCGACATTATGGTGGATCGTGACGATTGTGACCCAATATTCATCAGTGTGACAGGATTTTGGTCTTGTAGCTTTAACGACGCCTTCTTCTACAACACAAAGTTTCAGTAACGATTGCACCTACCGAATAATTTCACACACTTAATTCTTATTCAAACAGATAATTTCATAATTTTAATTAAATTATCAAAGCCTTATCAAAGGGTTCCATGAATATAGTCATGCACAGTGTCATAAAATTTTTCAAATTACAGATTCTTCTAATTTCGTATAATAGTTCATCTAGAGAATTGGTGGAAAACCTCGACTATTA